TTTTTTCACATACCACAACACAACATTTTAGTATCATCACTAGGACCAATGAATACTATCTCTCATGGTCAACACATCACACTCAATACTTCTCTATGCAATTAATTGTCACGTCAACTTCAATTCTTCGCCTCGTCGGCGATCCGTGGAGGCAGCGCGAGAACACCGTTCAAGAGCTGGTCAAAGAGCCTGACAACTCCTTGAACAACCATGCCATCTATAAGCATATTACTCGTTCTGTTCGGGGGCATCAACAGAGGCGCTGAGGTCTTCATGGAGGACTGTGTCACCCACGTTCCTCGGAGCTCTACCGCATAACTTGCTGAATGTAGACCTTCTACTCTCAACGTGCATCTGCTGCCGCATTCTGAAAATGAGGTAGACGAACATAACAGAATTTAGGATTCATATTAGGCACACCTAAAGTCGTATCACTGCAAAGGGCTATGCTATGCTAGTAGACATAAAACAATTTTAAATCTATACCTCCTTCCTGGAGAAAAATTGAGGGGCATCAAAGAGATGAGATTTCCCTCAAATTCCCCCTAGTAGAATTTCTGTGTTTTTCCCCAAGTTAAAATACACGAAAACCAGCAAACACTATGCTATGGATCTTACGACGCTAGGGCTCGGTTGAGATTAACAACTTCCATATCTTTTTCCACCAACAATTTCCGCTGTGCCGCATCTTCCTCAGCAAGCACCAGTACCTTCTCTCGCCCATCTTTCAGACGCTCTCGAAGCATTTCTATCTCGCTGCTCTACAACACAAATATTATGCATCACATACCACTCCTCCACAACATCCTACTTGTGTCGCGATGACTCCGTCCAAATACTCCGATTTCGACTGAGTCTCCCCTAGCTGTTCAGTGAGCTCCTCAACGATGATCCTATTGCTATCCTCCTGAGCATTTAACTCAGTTTCTGCTTTCTCTCGTGCCTGACATCAGACCTAGACTCATTCACACCCCAACAGTAAAAATCGCATGCCGCCACGCGTTCGCCATATCACGACGGAGATGTTTACAACTACTCTGATGTCAGGGAAGTCAGCGTGCCATCGCTTCACCACCTCTTTCTCTTTCATAAGCTCCTCTTTGGCCTCCTCTAGCTCAACAACCGCGGCATTCCTCGCCTCCTCCGCTGTTTTAAGTGCCTCTGCTGCAGCATCGTGATCTTTTTGCATCGCTTCGCGATGAATTTCGGAGTCTGTAAAATACCAATCGAGCCAACATCACTCCAACTAACGATACCACAATTCTGACGAAACACGCGAGATACATCTGCCCTTAAATCTGAACACTAGGGCGCGTGAACTTGCGAGACTCGCATCACTTCCGACTGAGCTCAATATCACAACCATCGACATGAGCTACTGCTTGCCTTGTATGCAGCCCTCCCCATTTTGTATCACCTCTGAGGTCATTCTCTGCCCTGTCCTTTTCTCTCTCCATTTCCACTATTCTCGATCTCAACTCGGCGAGCTCGGCGTGAGCAGCCTCTATACTGCGAGGGGGCGGCTCGAAGAGCTCTTTAGCTGAGCTAACCCTGAGAGGAACCGTCAACCCCTCCTCATCCTTCCCCCTACTCAATAGCATCTGCATCGGCAGAATCGGGTTCATTCGGATAAACTCCCTCAAGCATATCGCCCACTCCTGATACGACATCGATCAATATAAAATGACTCAGGATCGGCAAAATACTTACCCACAGGAGCATCCTCAGCGAGTTCATCTCCGACTACCCTGAGGAAAGATAGGTGCACAATAGCGACCACTACGGTACTGTATCGCAGAAGTATACCCCCATGTTGATGCATTATCTCAGTCTTGATCAGTCCGTCGTATATTCAGCATATTGCGCAATAGTTCTCTACCCTATTACAGCGAGGACAATCACTGCATGCGCGTTTTACACCAACCTCTCGTGCCCTAGTACTACAACTGGATTCGATGGCTATTCAAAACGTTACATACCTGTCGGTGACTAGTATGCTAGAAGGCATCGGACCAACTGCTTCAACAACACGCTCATCTGGTAGCTCAATATCATCAGGGACGATACGCGATGGGGAGTTGTCTGCGCTGAAACGTCCGGCCCCTTATTCCCACTGTACAAGCTCACCTGCAGCGCTGTGGACAGTCGAGCTCTCCTTCTGCCCTTTAGCCACCTCGGGACTCACTTGGGCCGATGATCGTTGGTCCGTCGTGGAGAAAAGCCATGACTGCGACACACTGGCCGACTGAACAAGGACCCTAGGGTAGTAGTAGTAGACAGTGTGTGCTTACCAGTTCGCCTCGAGAGATCTTCCCACGTTTATACTGCTCAACTGCTTGCTGGTAGTATTGATCGTATCTGCAGGCAGTTTAATATGAGCATCTCCTGCTATGAGCAAAGACCCTCACGGATGATCCCAAACGCTCTCCTTCGTCTTGGTATTGTGAAAGAATACATCACCACTAGCAGTTTGACATTGAACCCACGGGTGAGGTATGGGAGTCCTCAAAGCCTGGCCACATACCACACCTTGATGAAATCTGATTCCATCATAGTTCTCACTTGCCGAGCTATCCAGAACAAGTCACGATCTTTCACGTTATCCAAACCTAGCCATAAGGCATAGTCCTCGATCTCCTGGTCAGTCGGCTCTTCGGGGACCTGGAGGAGGCACATAGAGAGAGAGAAGGGGTCCTTAGCTGACCTGTTGGGTCTTCCCCCCGGATACTCCCACGATCTTGCCAAGAGCACTAGTGGGGACCTTGGTCGCTGCGGACACTGCTGTCGCCATTGTGACGAACAAAACGAAATTCAACTGGAGAGTTTGGCACAGCTACTCGACGAGAGAGTAGAGTTACCCTATCGAAATGGAAGTATCAACGTGACAAGCTGTACCGCGGACCATTCAAATTGCGCTGTTACAGAAGCGCGCGCCCGAGGTATTGGGAGACGATTATGCTTCGCTCCGCCGGGACGTTTTCTTAGCACTTTCGATAGTCGCTCGCCCTTTATTTGGGGATGAATTGGAAAAAATCCAAGGCGTCTGGATGATAGGAGCTCCTGAGCCCGGTCCCGTATCCTGCCAGCGCAGCCAGGCCCTCGAACTGCTATGTAGGTCGAGGCTCGTATGGTACATTGACACCCGAGGCAGCCTCGGCGAGGCTCTTCGATTTTGCCCTTTTACCTTAGTATTTGAGATTCACCCCCAACTTGTGTGTTTCAATATTCGGCGTAACTCGTTAAAGAGCTGTTGTCAAGAAAGCTTCTGCAAATCTGTTTGTCAACGATGATTCTATGCAAAGAAAATACAGGTCAAAACGATCATAAACATCATATAGAGAAGGGTAGTCATTGACTACTATCATTGTCATTGTATCATCGACTACTAGTAGAGTTGTTGCGCAAAATGGAGGACGGCCTAATTTTGTTCGTGAAAGAACCGAGGGGCCGCAGCCGTTTCTTCCAAGTGGCACGCCAAGTCAATACCGTGCTCTCTATAAGATCCTCGGTGCCATATCAAACGTATCGACTGGGTTTAAGATTTCGCCTCCAATCATGATGCCTCACGTTTACTCTGGTACATTTTATAACTAACTCAGCAACTCAGTGATGCACAGCACAGATAAAATCGTCCTCATCATCACTATGATTTATCATGCATCAGCTTCATATCACCGCAATATTGGCCGCTCCTAAAGCTCTTCGGATCGACCGAAATCCTGCCAAAAGTGACGCTAGCAATGTGAGGCGCTGATGCGAAGATTGCAGCAATCGGTGCATCTAAGCCTGAAGATAGAGTAAATGCCTACACGGGTGTTCTGTCTATGTTCATCGAGGGTCCAGAAAGCAACAACTCTGTTGACCATGTCAATCGGGAGCGTCAGAGAGCAAAACCCTCCCAAATACCTGAACGCTATAGCTCGTCTACTTCTGCTCAAAGTTAGCACAGCTCACGACTCACCAGTATCGCCACTTATCAGCAGGGAATCTTCTTCGAACATGCGCCGGCCTAGTCATGACCTGAAGCACGGAAATCTAGAATCGATTACGAGAAGTCCATCGTATATCATCATTCTATTCTGCCAAGGAGAGCTCTATCAGTCGGTTCATCGCAAGGGCAATTCACCAGTCGTTCGCGTAAATTGATTCATCCATCGTTGAGTATCACGTACCTCAGCAGTCGTCAAATTTAAAAGCATAAAGCAAGTCTGTCTAATGAAGAGAGTTGCAACAAACCCAGCTGACAGGAAGTTGACGGCAGCGAAGAATACCTGGCGTAAGAGTCATCCAGGATGACACGGATAGAAGAGACTCACCACAGCAATGGTGATAAGGTCAATTTCAAGCTCTGAGCTGGAGCGAGCGCGTAAGATGACGGTGGATATAAAACGGAATACTAGATAGTATGCGATTGTCAATCCTACTGATAACACCTAACAAAACGAGACTCAGGATAGAATGGTTCAGGGAAGACAACTTGTCTTAGACCTAGCCTACGCTTGTCTTAGACAAGCGTAGGCTAGGCCCCAGCCTTACAAGGAGAAAGAGATAGAAACTTCGCTGGTTCCGAATCCCAACGCAGTTGTCTATCCACGGACAATGATGATCGAGACGGTCGACACAACGACGACACTCCTTACAATGGCGTGACCGCAATGTATGAGTCACTCGGCAAATAACGCAAACCTGGGAAGGTGTGAACGACGCCGACGCACCCGCGTCGGATGTGACTGGAATCAACTGTCACCTGTTTGAATTTGCCCTCACACAGAGAGCGATAATAGACCTCCGATACGACAGCCGTACGCGAGTCAGTCAGTTGTGAATTGATCAGTCGCTCCGGGAGACCAGCGGCAGCATCTGGATCCTCGTCACGCGGACTGTTGAAAGAGCCAGCTGAAATAGTACGACGTTGAAGAGAATCGGGCGGAAAGATTTCTCTACAGTCAAGACCTCAATATCATCAATGACTCGATCTGAACGATACGCGATGAATTACGCTGGGCATCAGAGCCGTTCATTGATCTAGTGTGCACTTCATGGTATATGGGCCATTGTGTCAGCTCCAGAAAACCCTGCATGAGAGGCCTTCACACAGGTAGGTGAATCAAGTGAGACTGTCGCTACCCGAGATTCTTCTGCCTTGCATTTCGCGGCAGCGGTAATGAACGTCTCCTGAAAGTCCTCTTGGATCTGTTCAGAAAGAACTCAAACGTCCACGAGTTGTGAGAGCCCTGTTACGCATGAAGTTGATTCACTCTGCTCCTCAGAGAGTTCTCGGCAAGTATCGGCCTGTGACCGCAATGGATACTCAGCAAGCCAACCTGAAACAGTCTGTACTGAACCAGTATAGCTATGCTTGGAAGACGATCTCAGTATTGTTCAGGCATGAGGCCAATAACCAGATTCGATATTTTGCCTAGTGATATCGAATGCCCCCGACCTGGATCGCTGTAACAGGCGATAGCCCATAAGAGTATGGTTAAGATGAGACACAGAGCCTCTACATAGAGCCATAGCATATCCCATATGTTGCTTTTGAGCCATGGCCAGAGTACATAGGCGAAAAACAAGGAATCGAGGCCGAAAGCCACGATGAATCTGACGAGAAGTCTTCTATTATAATCTAGTATATACGGACACGTTCGCGTAGTCGTTATGTGCGAGGTACGGTCGGCCAAAGAGCGTGTTACAGAGTCGCGTCTTCTGAAGGGCAAAAATGCGGATGAATGTCCAGGAGGGGGGCTTCGATCAGATGAGAGCCAACCAGATGTAGGCGAGAGATCACCTGCATGCACAAGTAGATCCACTGGAAGCCATTTAGCTTGGCCAAGCTGAGAGGCGAATCGCCGCTATTCCCGCAGTCGTCCAATAGGAATGCGCCTCCCACGTCGATCAGCATATCTATGACCTGTGACGATTATGTATTAGTGCAGGCAACTGTAACGTATAGAGGGACCATAGAATCGAGCTTATTCAGTTGAAGCTAAACGAGTCGGAGGTCCACGACTTGACAATCATGTCGAACGATGTGTGATGGATACTCGATCCGACCATCTTCTGGCCTTGCATGGAGGCTAAGTGAAGTGGTGTCATGCCGTCGATATCACGTTCGATGAGTGAAGCACCGCGAGACAGCAGCCACTGAACAGATTTTCGATGGCCCTGAGATATGGCCCTCTAACAGTGTATTCTCGACATTTCCAGACACCTTGTAAGCAGCCCAATGCAATGCCGTTCGGCCCGAATGGTCTTTCTCGTCTATGAACATACCACCAGTAAGCCAAAGCCATTCCATCATCGCTGCGTTGTCGAACTGGGCGCAGACGATTAGTAGTGTTAGTCCATCCTGAAGCGCTGACACTTCGTCCTCGACATTTCCATGCACTCGAACCAGATCGTGGCTCTTGAAGAGTTTTTGCACAACACTACTCCACCCTTGCTCGGTCATCGCCTCAACCAGTATTGTAATCCCGACTGTGTTCGAGGACTACGCTCAAAATGGTTCGCAGGCGCAGCTTGCGCGAGAACACCTTTGCAGCCCACATTATCGGCAATTCGCCATAGACATTCGGCATCTCGATGAGAGTCCGAGCCATTGGACCAGCCAGTATCGTCCGAACAGTCTCGGAGTCTCTATACCTAAGTGTTAGTCTAGTGCCAGCAGTAGTGTGCAATGTGTACCATAACGCCCAATGTAGTGCCGTGTTACCATCTGAGTCTTTCTGAAACGCTGAGGGCAGATTTGTGGTGACCTGAGGTCACCAGCCCATACTGACACGATGGTGTATCTCTCTCGGACGATAACCGACTATCTGTTATTTACGGCGACGTACTCGCTCAGTTCCTAAGACTGGTGCAGAAGTTACACCTGCCTGGACTGCTTCCGAGTTGGTGACGGCGGCTAGCATCGAATCCGCTACCAATGTCTATGTTCGCAAGTCCGTGCCAGGCAGGATCCACCTGGTGCACCCGTCTCTACTTGAACACGAGCCGAGAGCGTCTCACACACCAGCCAACACCAGCTAACAGACTTCATGAGCTTTGGACATCTTTAAGGATCTGTAATGTTTCTGAATCGTCACCGCTGCTGTTTCTTCTTGGATGACTTCACGAGCTCTTGACATCTTGAGTAATCTAAAGTGCTTCTGAATTGTTGTTGCAGCTGTCTCCTCGATGACACGTTCACACGTCCGATCTACAGAACGGAGACTGTGTGTGTTAATCTCAGACGGATGATTCTCCTGAACGGTGTCAGCTGCCCTATCTTGGCTCACTCGATAAGATGAGTTCTGAAGGAACAGCAGTACAAAGTGACCTACATCAGCAGACTGGTGGCAACATGCTAGCTTTTCAAGCCGCTCTGTCGAGACTACTCACCTCCCAAGCTTGCCGGTATACTCGCTCGAGCACAGCATTACATAGCACCTGGCAATCGACCGGGGTCACATCGGCCATTGGGACTGTCTGCTCTAGTGTTCTTCTTTTCTGCTTGAGCCTCCGTGGGGACATTCTTGTCGTTCGGGGTGAAGGAGGAACTCTCACCGACGAAGCATCCGGCATGAGTAATGATGCAGCGTCCCATCCGTCGTCGGTGGTACTCGCATAAGCTAGTAACGAAGACTCAGCTCCAATAGACGAGCGTATGTCACCAGATTGCAGCATCATCATGGTGGTACGTGTCACAGGCGCCATTCGTGACCGAGAACACCGTCGACGAGGCGTACACTTAACAAGCCGTGGGGTCCACACTGCTGCCTCAGAGCTCCCTTGAGATAGTCGGAGGCTGGGACTAGCAGGCGCTAAACTATCAAAGATCGATTTGCTCACAGAACCCGCCCGTGGTTCAATATTCAGCCAGGGTATCTCGGCCGTCCCGACAGGTCTTCTCGTCACGGGTGGCAACTCAACAGGAGTCAGGTGTAAATCTCTGAAAAGAAGCATATCGAGGGACGTGGAGTAAACCAGAGAGAACCTCACTTCCGCAGTTGCTCGCTAGCCTTCCTAGCATCCTCAGTAGCGACCAAGGCAGGAAGATGAATACCCGGCATAAGACTAACAATAGGTGTCGGATGAGGCCCTGCTTCTCTGCGTTGTGGCTGCCGCATGAGCCGCAGCTCTCGAGTGAGCTCTGACTCTTTCGCCGCAACTAGCACTCTGTGAAGTCGTAGATGCGTCGTCCATGTTTTGAAACCCGCCTTCCTCGCTACATTCACACCCGTGGCCAGCTCCAAGGCCTGCT